TATTGAACCTGATCGGCTCAGTATGAGCTAATTCTGTTGCTAAAGATGTTAATTCAAAGTCAGAGTAAGAGGAGACATCCTGCTGATCAGACTTGTCCTAGAGCACCGTGTCCAGTCCTGAGCCTCAGCTGTAGGGGCGCGTCCTAAAAGGGTAGCCAGGATGCGCAGTGTTCTTAGGATTAGGGAGCTAAGAGATACTGGCTGCCTACACACATTATTCACATTATCTTACATAATACTTGACACAATCCTATGAGATAATATTACTATCCCATTTTTAAAACAAGAAAACTGAAGCAAAGAGAGAGAGGTTAAGGATTTGTTCAGGTTCACAGGCTAGTAAATGGACGAATCAGAACTTGAACCCAGGGCTGTTTAAATCCAGGGTCCCCACTTTCCCAGGCAGCCTCACACAAGAAACGATAGAACAAAATTCGAGCTGTTTGGGTGAGGAGAAATGATAGCCACATGTAACTCGACGAAGGGCTATGAGTAGAACCTCTGTGTGGTTTAAGAAGTGAGAATATGACCTAGAGGAGGATACTGAATGTTCCCAACACAAGAAATGATCCATCTTTGAGATGACGAATATGCTAATCACTCTGATTAGATAACCATACATAGGGATTGAAATAGCACTGTGGCCAGGCACAGCGGCTCACCCCTGTAATCCCAACACTGTGGAAGGCCGAGGAGGGACAATTGCTTGAGCTCATGAGTTTGAGACTTGCCTGAGCGAGAGTGAGACCTCGACTCCTAAAAAAATGAAAAACCCAGCCGGGTGCCACAGTGAGTGCCTGTAATCCCAGCAGTTTCTGGACGCTGAGGCAGGGGGATGCCCACAGCCCTAGTCTGAGGTTGCAGTGAGCTATGACACCAAGAAATATAACTGTGTATCCTGAGAATATGTACAATTATTCTTTATCAATAAAAAAATTAAATCAAAGAACTCTCAGAGAAGTAGATTTTTAGCTCAACAGAAGAACTGGTGACAAAAATTGGATGGACTACTAGGTAGGAGGATGAATGCCTCATACCTGGAGGCTTTAAGCATGATCTGGAAAGGCATTCGCCTATAGTGGGATCTGGGTGGAGACCCTCCAAGTTCACCTTTGACCCTTACGTTCCCTGAGCCTGTGCAGCTGCCTGGCAATCAAACCTTCAAAAGAAGTGATAAAGCTATCTGTTGGTGTGTCCATTTGCAGATACAAAAGCAAAAATTATCTATGTAATACTGTGCAATATAAAATTCTTCATCTGAGTTTTGTTCATAAACCATCTAAACATCCAAGGACAGGCAAAAGGGCCAGCTGGGTAGCAGGAGCCAGGGCCTGAGCTAGGGGAGGGGAGCTGGAAGCCCAGGAGTGAGCCTAGTCGGTGTGCACAGGGAAAAGCCCCAGAGTATCGAGAACTGCGTTAACACAAGAAATGTAGCGAGCCAAAGATGAGCATGAAAGCCAAGGTCACCTTGTAAGAGACGTCAGCCGGCTACACACAGGGTGGGAGCATACTTCAGTGAGGAATGAACAGGGCTGGGGGAAGAATCCCAGTGTTAATACTAAGGACATATAGGCCCCCTCTCTGGGCACTTTCATTACATTTTCAGTCCTCCCCAGGACCCAGTAACTAGGCATTACTTCCTTTGTTTTGCAGATGGCCTTCAGAAAGATGCAGTAACTTGTCTCAAGTCAGGTAGTAAGTGCTAGAGTTGGGAACCGAATGCAAACCTGAATCCCTCCTAACTCACTCACTCCTTTTACCACCATGCTGATGGAAGTGGCAAGGTCTTTTCTGAACTGGCAGGCCTGTGGATCAGCCTCACTGCCCGGGCAGCTGATCAGATGGTCTATACTAAATTGTCTACTTTGTAAATGTTAAAAATGATGGTTATAAATTTCACAAAATACAGGGAAACATGTTAAATGCAAAGGGAAGGATACAAACTCGATCTCATTCTGTAAACACAAGTATGTAAAATACACAAAGACGAGACGAGATGTATCACCACGCTGTCAGGAGTGCCATTTGAAGAGTTTCCCCTCTTTTTCGAAAAGTTTCTATAATTTTTATTTCTTTCTAAGAGTCATAATTTAGAAATGCATATAAGAAACACACACAAGTGCTAACAGTTTACTAACACATTTTCCTCAGCTAGGAAATAAGCCAAGCCCCATCTTTCTGTTTCATCTGGTAACCAGAGAACTTGTTTCCAGAGCTTCTGAAGACAAGTGCCCAAATCTCATTGATTCAGGTCTTGCCAATTCTGTATTGACTGTCTTCTCCCGCATGATTCACAGCCCTGGCACAGGAATCAAAAGACTCTAAGTGTATAAGTAAGGGAAAAATCACTGGTGCCTAGTGGAAAAGTCACCTGCCTCGCGACCAGCTAACAGCCTTCGGTGAGCATGACGAGGATGGCTAAACCAGGCGTTAGAGCAGATCCGCAGTTATTTAAGAAGAAACTTATTCTCAATTTCAAATATCCTCTGGCACTTTAGAAGGAACATCAATTTTTTGGTTTGTTTGCCTTTACATAGGAAACACTCCTCCTGCTTCATTGAAGCAGATCTTCTAATGAATTCTACTAAACTGGCATTTTTCAAAAGTGGTACTTGTGTTAAAATACATGTCCCCAGCCTTATTCCAGACCTACTGAATCAGGCTGTCAAAGCTCAGGAAATCTGTCTTCTAAGCACCTCAGCAAATTTTTAAGATTGGAAAAGTTTGGGAAATGCTCTACCACATACACGCATTTCCATTCTGTGTCATGTATTTGAATGTAATGAAACTATGCATGCATATACATATTATTATTACTCCCAGTCCCTCCAAACGGCCTGAATTAATCCATCGACTAATTACTTAGGTTGAGTCTCCCCTAAACATGCCCTGAGATTACATGGCCAGATTCCCAGAGCAGACCATGACTTACCATCTTTCAGGCAAGAAGTAAAAGGCCAGGCTTTGCATAGACTTGGATTCTGACCCAGCTCCATTGCTGACAGTTCCAGGGACCCTGGATAAGAAATTATTTAACTTTTCCTAAGCCCATTTCTTTCTCTCTATGTGTTAAAAATGATGGTCTTGCCCTCCTATCCTTTTAACAGAGCACCAGGTACACAAGAGGGGCCAAAACCATCTCAGTCTAACTAGTGTGCAAAACCTTTTAATTCTCTATCGGTATTACAAGTGTGCTTCGTTGGTGCATCCATTTCTGATCACTACACATCATACATTCTGCCTTAGATGCTAAAAACAACATCTGCATGGCATGGGTCTTTGAGATTTACAGAGCCTTTTCACAGATCCTATAGATTACTCTCCACAAGAACCCTGAGTTAGGGATCATTATCTCCATGTTAGAAGAAATGAGGCCCCGAGAGGTCAAGTGACCCGTCTGGAAGTGGGAAAGTCAGAATTTGAATCCAGATCCCATGATTTTTCACGGCCCTGTTCTGTCTCTAACATATGCATCATATATTATACAAAGCACTTTGATACACATTACAGCATTTTTATTGTAGATATTTTCATAACGACAAAGTATTTCTCCCACTAGCCTAAAAGCACCTATCTATCAAGTACCTTTCTGTATTAGTCTTTAAAGAGAAAGGCAGATCTCAGTTTTTGTCTTTTCCATATTTAACGAGAAAAATAGACAAGCTCCACAACGACGCACACTTTTTTCTAGTCTCTCCTGCATTCCACCCTATTCATGCCCAAGATGCCTCATGCCTTTAAATGAACATGTCTTAAGAATGTATTTAATATCTACCAACTGCCAGGAACTTTGCTTATCTCATGAAATGAGTTAATCTACGTTAAACACTGAGAAAAGTCCTAGCACACACTAAGTAGCTGTTATTATTATTTAATTATCCATACACCCTGTGAGGCAGGCATTCTTTCCCCCATTATACTGATAAGGACTCTGAGAAGGTAAGTGATCAGTCCAAGATTTCTTATACGACCAGTTTATGAAGAGCAAGGAAAATACTGTGAGAAGGGAAATTCACAGGTATGCATCCTATTAGCAAGCATATAATATTTCACATTACGAAGAATTTTATTTACTAAAATAGAAGTTTTCAAAGTAGCAACTACCTCCTCTTCTTACCCCAGTGACCCTGAGCTTTTAGTAACAGACCACCAATTAATGGATAAACCATTAGAAAAACCAAAGGCCAAAGTTTTCCAACCAATGATTAAAAGCCAATAATCAGAGATTGCCAACATTTATTCAGTACTATACATGTGTACAGGGTGGCCAATTTTGCACAGGAACTTTATGGCCCCCCCATATATATATAAAATGTTATCTCTAATTCTTGTAGCAACTCTGCAAGGTATATATTATCCCCTTTTTATAAAATCGAAAACAGAAACTTAAAGACGAGTTAAGCCCAAAGCAAGCAGAGGAGCCAGGCGTGGAATCTAGAAGCATCGGCCCAAAGCCCTTGCCCTTTCCAATATACCACGCATACTTCCTGGGCATTACAGAAAGCAAAGTGCAAATCAACAGGAAGCTCCAATACGGTTTGCCAGGATGTAAGGCAGGCACCTTAGAGATTCAGTGACTGAATAAAGAATGAGATACAAATTCTGTAAGTTCAGAGAACACTTGAGATACAAGATAGGATGTAGAACTGATACGGGGTGACACTGTCTCTACTTCCTGAATGTAACTCTATACCACGTTATCACCCCCTTTCATTCCTTTACAAGGATTGACTCAAATTATCAGGGAAGCTGAATCTCAGATCATCTTGAGTGAGAAAGGTGATTGGTCCAAGATCTGGCCTTTGAAATTAGAGAAAGTAATCTTCCTTTAGAGATAGCCTTTCAGATCTGTAGACAGCAACCATATCTCTTATGAATTTTCTTTCCTTCAGCCTGTATGCCCCTCCCTGGAAAGGAAGGGCATTCTAGGCCATACAGCACAATGGCTACCTCCATTGTACATGTAATATTTTAAATAAATGAGGATAAGGATTGTATAATCAAAGAATTAAGGAAGCTTTATTATAGAACAAAACAGAGAACAGAAAGAGACATCCTTGGACGGTTTGTAGAAACATCAGTTTAAATCTCAGACAAGTGACAGGCAACTCAGAGACACCTTATTCTCCTTGAAAAGAGTGCTCTTCCCATCCCCAGAACACCACCAGTACTGGGGCCGCTGCCTGGGTCTCAGCAAATCCATCTGCCATCTCCACAGTGGTAAGTCCAAGCTTAGAATAACCAGCTGACCTCAGAACCCAACTGGCTCCCTGTCCACACACCACCATGCATGGTGGGGTCTGATCTGGACGGCACCATCGCTCGCATATCACACGCCACACAAGGAAAACACAAAGGCTTTATGAAAAATCCAAAGTTTATTGCAAATTGTATTTTGCTTCCCTTCGTTCTTCATTTTTACAGGATTTATTGATATCCATGATTTTTTCACAGATGTACTTGTTGACTTTGGAGAGTCTCTGTGCAATTTCAGTTTCATCCACAGTTTCCTGTGCTATTCTGTCATACAAACACTCTAGACAGGGAGAAGAAACAAGAAGGCCAAGGATTAATGGCGAATTCCAGTACACATCTTTTGGGGTGGGGGTAAAAGAAAACATACCCCCCAAATATCAATTCACATATTTGGAATAGTGATATTTTAAACTTTGCATCATAATGTACTTAGAAAAGAGCAAACTATACACTGTAAATCTACACTTTAAAAATGGTAAGTTTATACTAATTGATCACAACCAGTTACAGATTTCTTTTTTGCTTCTCTACTCCCATTGCTTCAATTGACAAGCCCCAAATGTAAATAAATAATGCTAAAATACCCACGTACCCTCCACCCAGATTAACAAGACACTCCCATCCCTTTGAAACCCTTGGACACTCTGCCTTAATCCTCTTTCCTCCTCTCCCTCCCCAGGGTAACCACTCAAGTTTGGCTTGGCTTTGCTTTTCGTGTTGACACATGTACGTATCCTTAAACAACACTGTCCACCTTTTTACAAATGTGCTTATTTGCTTTTTTCACTCAGCTGTTCTGGTTCTGAGATTTATCCATGAAGCCATAGGTCATGCATTTCCACTGATGAGTAGCGTTCTACTTTATTTCTGTACCACAATGTGTTTCCCCATTTTAGTGTCCACGGATATTTGGTTTTGCAGGTACAAACACCCCAGCACGTGTCTCTGGGCTACACATGCAGGAGATGTGCCAGGATCAGCCTAGGTGTGGATGAATGTTGAATGTTCAGACGTGTGCATATTCAACTTTACTAGGTGATTTCAATTGGTTTCCAAAGTGGTTGTGCTGACTGGCACTCCCATCTATAGGGTATCCAAGTATTGGTTGCTTATTTCAACAGCACTTGACATGGTCACGTTATTAAGGTTTTGACAACCTGATGGGGATGAAGTGGTGTCTCACTGTGGCAATTACTAATGAGCTTAGGATGGCCATTCTCTTCCTGAGTCTATCATTTGCTGTGATGAAGCAAAGAGCCAGCCCTAGGCAAGGCCTGGCTGAGCCTGATGTCAGCTGACTACCTAGCCTGGGGACACCTCACAAACAAGGATAACACTCTATACAGTGTCTTTTTAAAGGCTGCCATGAGACACGTGGCATAAACATGTTTACAGCCTTTTTCAAACTGCAGAGAGTATTATTACACCATACTGTATGGGGTTGTTTCGGGTATTTTATGTACATACAACTATTAACTCCCAGAGCCTAGCACAGTGCTTATGAAGTTAATTTATGTTAAATGGATGCATAAATAAATGCCTTCCCAGAGAAACCTGAGTGAACACAAATGTTCTGGACATAAGACTAGGGCATAGGGGGAGAAAGTACCATACAGTGTGTACTCATGGGTGGAAATTTAAGTTCTTTGAGCCTCAGTTTCCTCACCTAAGCAGGAATGACAATCCGATCGTTAGGAACTGCTATGGGGAATTTGTAAAATACTGTCTTTACAAAGACAGCCTGAGTAGCTTATCCTCTCAGAGATGCAGGATATCAACACTAGAAGGGCCCGTGGAGACCGGCCTGTGCTAACTCCTCCACTTACGTATGAGAAGACTGAGGCTCAGATAACAGGAGTGAGTTTGGGGCAGGACCGCCCCCGCCTCCCCACACACGGAGTTGACCCCAGGCCTGGAGCCGGACAGCCTGCCTCCTGTCGCAGGTCATGCTGCAGGTGCATGGGAGCCAAGTCTTTCACTGGGGCACCCTTTATTCCCCACTGAGAAGGGTTTTGCACCGGGAAGCCTTTAAAAGCTTTAACTTGGCCTCCACTGTTTCTTGACTGCTCCCAAGTCTGAGGAATCCTCACTTCCTATTCCCTTGGCCTTTCATAAGGACTGAGAGATGAGAAGGTAGAGGGCCCTGTCCCTGCTGTGTTCACCTGCACTTCCCTCTCCATTCCCAGCTCCCCCCCACATCAGTGTTTTTCTCCTCTCTGCCAAGAATACCATGGCATCACCTCTCACCTAAATCCCACTCATTCTTCCAGACTTTGCCTTCTTGGACCCTACCTTACTGAGCTAGGGACCCACTCTACTTGCAGCTCTGTGCTCCCACACCCACTTGGTTTGTCTCTCTGGTGAAGTGCTGATCACAATCAGATTAAGCTGTAACTACCTAATCTCCTTCCATAGAAACGGATGCTCGGGCTTCTCTCTCCAGCCTCGGGCCCAGAGAAAGCAAACAGGCACAGTGATTTTGCTGGAACCTGGACCAAATGAGGAGGTTGGACAGTGATGAGAACTGTTTCAAAGTTCAGGAGTTCAAATCTGGCTCTAACCATAGATGCTGTGCAACCTCCAGGAGGAACCTCTCTGGGTCCCAGTTTCACTGTGGAAGTAGTGAAATCTAAGGAGAGCCTCCCAGCTCTAAGTCTAGTCTGCAAAGTAATAAGGGCAGGTAAAGAGGCAAAGGGAGAGAAGACGGAGGCAGGAGAGCAGGTGTGATGGCCCTTATGTGCCCCAGTACAAGCCCTGGTAGAAAGAGAAAGGTGTGAATGCAGGGCAGTTTTCAGAGGGGCCCCCAAAGAATTCCAATCATGCTCATTTCCTAGGGGTACCAGCCCTGAACGGCTCCTCAGGTTGATTAAAAGGCTTTCTCTAGACTCTAGATATTAATCACCTGCAGTTGCTGGGAATGTCTCCCTCTGCGAGGGAGTATTTGAGATTATTGCTTAATTAACAAGGTTTATAACAGCGCTAATGTGTCCTATTAAAAAAGTTATAAAAATTAACCAGAACGCAATGCTGAGGCTCATTTAGAAAACTCAGGCACTCTGCAAAAGGTCATTTGACCCTAATAGGTTTAACTGTTATTCTGGAGCTTGTCATTAGAGTCAGACTCTGCTCCAGCTCTCCTGCTTTCCTAAAGCAAGGCCAGCATTCACCCATCCCTCTGCTGTCTGGTAAGGAATGATTTTAAAATCAAAGAGAAGAGAAATACTCACCAACTCTGTGAGTGTAAAGGCTTTTGCCATTTTTACATGGCAAATGTGACTAAATCAGACAAAATAAATACAATCTCAATCCAGCAGACAGCTTGCATGGGTATAACTAGCCAAATGCAATCTGGAATAGCTCAAATAATTAGGCTAAAAACAGTGACTGTATGGTGGGATGGGAGACAGACTCCAAACCTGCCTGTTGTGGTAAAAAAATAATAATCAACATAATATTTCACAATTAACACAAGGAACTTCTGGTGGCAGCAGGAAGCCTCAAACTCCAGTTCAGCTTGGCTCTGTCTCTAATTAATTGCATGACCTTGGGCAAGTCAATTTCCTTCCACTTACATAGAAAGCATTTATAGGCTTTAGGGGCTGGGGACAAGGCTCTAAGAAGGCAAAGATCTAGTAAGAAGAGAACTGAGACAGGTATTGGGTACTTTGGGACATGTGACACAAGCACCCGCCCCCCCCCACCCAAAGAGGTCAGGGACATCTAAGCAGATCTAGGCTAGAGAGTATGACCTGTGTTTCAGGCACCATGAATGGCATTTACAAACTCCCCAACGTGAGAGGGAACAAGGCTTGTTCAGGGGATACAGTAGTTCATCATGGTAATAACTTAGAGTTCACGGGGGAGTATTGCTGAAAATAATTCTGGAGATATAGCCAGGGGCCAGATTACGAAGGTGCTTTTATGGTATGCTAAGCAGCTTAGCCCTTAATAACGAACACTATGAACTGGCCGTGACTGGTGTAGTGGTAAAAGGATCATATCTGGTTTCTGAATGATTACTCCGGTTACATAATGGAAAGGGGAGTCTGGAAGCTGCCAGAGTAATGAAGGCGAGAAATGATGTGGCGTGGGCTATGAGAGGAGCAGTGGCTATGGAAAGCAACAGGTGGTTTAAGAGGTATTTGGGGGCAGAAAAGCCAGGCATGTGGAGTCAAGGGTGAGGTGAGTCCTGGGCTGGGGGTGTCGCTCACCAGGACAGGGAACCCAGCACAGGCAGGAGGCTTTGTGGAGAAGGAGGAGACAGCAGTTAGTTCTGCCATCGTCATGTGGACATCCATGAGGAGATGACTGGTGGGCACTCGGATATGTGGATTGGGAACTCAGAAGTGTTAATTGCGGTCAAACACAGATCTGGGCACCAACAAATATTTACTGAGCTCTTACTGTGGGCTATCCCTGAACAAGATCTTCATAACATTTATATTCTAATGGAGGAGACAGGAGAAAGACAATTATCATGTAAGCAAGTAAATAAGAAATGCTACGCAGGGACTTTAAGTGGGGTGATGTGACAGGGAGCAGTGGGAGGCTGGGAGGTCTCTCTAGGTGACAGGGAGGGAGAGCGTGCAGATCAGGAAGGTCACTATTGGTGGTGGAATAGGAAGGGCTGGAGAAAGCCTTTGTGGCTACACACGGGGGCAAGCTGGAAGTGTGGTGTGGGGTGAGGTGAGGTCAGAGGGGTCACTGAGGCCAGATCGCCAGGCATCAGCCAGGTGAGGCGAACCCAGAGCCGAGAGCGCACTGACGGCAATGAGAATGATGAAAGGTGAGAAGACCCACCAGGAACGCTCAGCGGGATGACAGGGAAGGGAGTTTCACCAAGGAGACAGGATAGGCAGTGAGGTGGGGAGAAATCCTCAGGGTGCAGAATGGACTTCCCAGTAAAGGCAGCATGGTCACCTTGAACAGCACTGGTAAGAAGGAGGGAAATGAGGCCTGGGTTTAGTAATGAGGACGTCACTGGGACCTTGGTGAAGACAGATCAGGCAGAAGGCTGGGAGTGGAAGGCGATGGGCAGGGGCATTATCAGGGGCACAGACAGTGTGAGCAGAGATGCCGGGAAGTGAAGAAGAGAGAGGCAGCAGCAGCTGGTGACAGAAATGCCCTTGAAGGAATATTTGCTTTTGTAAGACATGAGTAATCAAGGCATATTTAAACATCGTTGAGAAGGATTCAGTAGAACAGGAGCATACAATTAGAGCAACAAAGACTTAGGAAGGCAGGTGGACTGGAATCTAGGCCCAGATGGAGAGAATTACCAGCACCAACCAAGAGAAGGAAACTCTTCTTTTGGGGCATGAAGGTGTAAAGGTGGGGACAGAGTTACGTCTGCCAGTGTGGTGGTTCGAAACCGTGGAAATTATTTTTCTCTGTGAAGGAAGAGACAAGCCCATCTTTTGGGAAAGAGATAGGTGTGGGGGGGGACTATCATGTTTGGAAATGAAGCAGAGAAATTTAAAAAGGGATTGGAAAAGGAGGGAGTAGAGCAGGGAGGGAGCTCGGAGGAGGTGGAGTGAGTGTGTAATGGCCCCAGAACATGCAGCTGGGGAGGAATTCACTGCTACTTCCTCAGCAGCTCTGACTGTTGTAGGAGGTAAGTTTTCAGCTAAGGGAACTGAGACATGGAGAGGAAAAGTGATTTAGAAGGAATCCCACCAATGGTCAGTCGGTCAGGGGGTCAGCTTGTGGGTTTCAGTGTTTCTCCTGCTCAACACTCATTTACTGAGCTCCTACTGTGTGCCAGGCAACGAGGATGTAAAGACAATCAGATATGGTCTCTAGGCCCCTGAGGCAGACACACAGCAGATGGTTTCATATCAGGCGACAGTGGTAAGGACAGCCAGTTATGGGAAGGTACCCAGCACCTGCCGAGTCATGCTCCAACAAGTGCAGCAGAATGGGAGGTTGGCCACCTACCAGGCAAGGCAAAGTTTGTCCCCAGGAGGGCCTCTTTCTCAGGGCCACCTCCCGAATCAGGTTTTACTGTTTCAGACAGCAGCCAGACTGCAGGCTAGCTCTGATTATCTAAAAGTAAGTGGCTGCCTTAGTGGATTAAGCAGGAGCTGGCCAGGCCAGGGAGACAGCTGTACTGTAGCAGAGAGAGCCCAGAGCACAAGAAGGGCCTGTGGTGTTCAGTGTGGGTTCTGAAACCTGTAGCTGTGACCTCAAGCTGGCTGCTTAATTTGTGTCCTGCCACCTCCAAAATATGCCCTCAACCTGGCCATTTCTCTCCACTCCCCCTGCTGTAACCTTAGTCTCTGGCAGTAGCATCTCCCCCTGGGATTACTGCATCACTTTCCTAAATGATCTCCCCCGTGGTCACTCCATGACCGGGGAACTCCATTGCCTTTCTCCTGCAAGTAGGGGAAATCCAAGCTGTGTGCTGTGCCTTCCCACCCCTGCAAGACTGGCTCTTGGCCCACCTCCCTGACCCCATCCTCCTGTCCAGCCACGGGGGGCTTCTTGGCTCCTGGACCTTTCACAGGGCTGCCTCTTTCACACTCAGTTTGTAGCTCAAATGTCACCTTCCCAGCCTGATCTTCTCCAACCACCCCAGCTAGAGCAGCCCTCTTTGTCCTACCTTGTCATTTAAGGAAGCTCACAGTATCTTGAACTTTCTGTCTTGTTTCGGGATATATTTGCTGTCTACCCCCAGAACCTGCCGTGGGGTCTGCTCAAAATACAGAGGGTGCCAAAAAAAATTACACAGGTTTTAAGAAAGGAAAAACTATATTAAAATTGTAATGCTCAAGTCACGTTTGACTTCTACAATTACAAGAAGTGCTCAACGTGACTTGTATTCAGGAGTATATATTGAGTATTACAATTTTAATACAGTTTTTTCCTTTCTTAAAATATGTGTACCTTTCTTTGGCACTGTCTGTGTATGTGTTAAGTGACGGAGTCTTACTTTCTTCATCAAAATATGCAGATCTGGACACTTAGAGAACAGTGTCAAGGTTAGGAGTACAGATTCTGAAGCCCGCTTGCTGGCCTGGACTCCTGGGTCTACGCCTGTGAGTTGTAAGACCTGGCCAAGTTGCCTAACATCTCCACGTCTCAGTTTCTTCATTTGCAAAACAGGAAAAATAAAGTGTTTAAAAGTGTTTTTAAAAAGATTATCATTTCCAAAAAATATCAGAATGTGAAACACAGTAAGTGCTCAAACTAATCAGCAATTAGTATCTTCTCTTTGTTTCTTCTATACCACTGTCTGTCCCTATGGTTTGTATTTTCTGTATAGTAACGAGTTGCTTTTGTGTTCATCCTCCCCACAGAACTGTGAGCTCCTTGCAGACAGAAACTGTGTCTTATCCTTCTTTGTGTCCTCACATGCCCAGCAGAGGCCCTGGCAAAGAATGGATGGATGGAGAGAGGGAGGAAAGGAAGAAGAAAGTGAAAAGAGAGGAGGAAGGCAGGAGAGAAGAGAGAGGAATAACAAAGGAGGGAAGGAGGGGAGGAAAGGAGGAAGAAAGGGAGGGAGGGGGAGGGAGAGGGGAGGGGAAGGGAAGAGAAGAGAGAGGAGGGAGGGGGAGAAGGAGGGAAGGGAGGAAAGCAGGCAGGGGCCCAGGATATAGACTGATCTATAGGAGAAAAATGACCCCCTGTCTCTTTGCCTGCCCTCAATGCCTCCCGAACACCAGACAGGAAGCTGAGTCCAGTGACCAGCAGCTTGTCTTCATCTCGTTAGCTGCTCCAGGCACAGTGTTAGAACCACTGAGAACTGTGTCCCCAGCCTTGACCTTTGCAGCCGTCTGCACACAGCAGCACCCATCCCATCCCATCCCATCCCATGCCTCTGTGCAAGATGCTCCCACCCCCTGAAGTCCCTCTGCATGCACACCTGTGTCTCCACGTCTGATGTATCCTTCAAGGCCCAGTCAGTGACCCCTTACCCTGATTTTCCAGCCAAGGGTATTTATTCCCCCCACCTGAGAACTGTTGCACTTCCTCTGTCCCTCTCTCATGCTACCTCCTTGAACAGCCCTTGTGTCCAAAGCTCATTTGCCCTGTTCAAAGTGGGCTCTTCAGGACATCTGGGATACCTGCTCCTGGGTGCCCTACCCAGCCCAGGGCCTGGTATGCAGAGGCTTCACTGAATTGTGCCTAACACACTCTGGACAGGGTGAAGGACAGAATCTCAGCCATTGTGTTTCCACTCAACGACCTACCTCTGACGATGCTGAGTTTGTGAGGCGAGAGGGGTGGCTTAGGGATTGCATCTTTCTTTTTTTTTGTGGCGACTCCTGTGACGCTTCTGTTTTTCAGAACATCTGTTCCCCAAATCATGACTGCCAAGTTCTTTGTGTACTTGGAATCTCCTTGGGTTACTTGGAGCTGGTGCCATTTCTCCTCATCAACCCAAATCCCGCTTCCCAGATGGACCTGAAAGGGATAAGAACACCAGCACCTGTTTAGCCCAACAGGAAGGCAGTGGGAGGCTTCTTGTCCTTTAAAAAGCCCTGCTGCACCAGGAAGGGGTTCATACCATAAATGCTAAATTACCTCTCCTTAGGGTAATAATAGTGGCTGTCATTTACGGAGCATCTGAAAAGTGCCAAGCCTTATTCTAATGCTTTATAGTCACTATCTCAAATCTTCACGGCAACTGTCCAGTAGAGCCATCTCTACATTGACCACCCAGGGGACTGTAACACACTGGTCAACATACGGAGGTGGTCAACACAAGGAACTAGGCCTCCTGTGCTGACACATCCACATGGCGCATGTCTGATCTATGAAAATTAGGTCAACGTAAGGAGGTGGTCAATGTAGGGAGGTGGTCATCTCTGGTGGTTCTATTGTATTTTTATTTCAGATGAAAAAACCAGGTTCAGAATGATGAGGTGACTTGCTGAAAGTCACTCAACTAGTGAGTGACAGAGCTGGGACTCTAAACCGTATTCATATTATCACGAGGCTGCTCAGAGCCTTAGTCTCAGGATACAATATACTTTCACTTTTTGTGTTACGCTATGAAAAGACCTGTCTCCTCTTAATATGAACATTCTGGGACACGTATTCCCCTTAGCATAGTAGTTGTCAACTGTGGCTGCATGCAGGGGTCACCTAGGGAGCTAAGGAAATCATGGTGCTGGGCCCTGCTCTCAGGAATTCCAATTTATTTGGTGTACGAGAGACTTAGGCATTAAGACAGTTTAAAACCCTGTAGGTAATTCCAACATACGGCTAAGTTTAAAAACCCTGCCAGCTGGAGGGAGGGGAGCAGCTGCCCTGCCAATCGGAGTGTAGCTATGCAAAGTCCTTTCCCATCTCTGAGCTTCAGTTACTCTATCCATGAAATGGAAGAATTAGACTTCATCTTGAGTTCCTTCTGGCTCAAAGTACCTGTGATTTTAACAAATTAAACACAACTACAATGCATCCAGTTTGATTCTGATAGCACACAGAACAGAATTCAATTTTAAGCTGCCTATAAGGGAAGAAGTCAGAAAATTTCAGTACCCAGCCAATAAATGCGAAAGATCCAGAATGTTCCAGCAATAAGCTACAAACTTTTATTTGTTTTCCTTTCTTGTTCTTTGAACAAAACTTGCAAACCATTTACTAACATCAATCATTAAAAAGATAGTTTTGACTTTGACATCGCCATTTATAATGTACTTCTGCTGAGTCTATGAAGGGAGGAGATGGCCTGTGTGGGGACAGAGGGTGGCGCCAGCTAATGACCTACACTTTCTAAGGAGCATGAGACAGCTCTGTTGAAGGTCCTTGTTTTCAGAAAGACCTGCATGTCCCTAATGTTGCACGTCAGGAGACATCTTGGGAGAGGTCCTGGGCTGAGTGATTGCACACACGCTCAAACTGGTGGCAAACTGGCAAGACTCATTGTTCAAAAGACAATAAAGATCTTTCTGCTTAAGCTTGGCTTAGGAAGGAAGGTGGGCACACACAGACAGGCACATGGGTCAGCCAGAATACTTCTTCCTGCACCAATTACTGAGGCTTTCCAACCATCGAAAAGAAAAATATATAGCAACACAGCCCACCCATGAATGTTAGTAAGTAAACAATCCACCTGCCACGTCTGACTTCACCTCCTTTTGCTCAAAAGATCATTCAGACTGCTGCAGGCAATCAGAGAACCAGACCCACCTGCCCTCTCCTGCTGTAAACTTCAGTACTGCAAATCTGTTTGTACAGCTCGGGGAAGATAAGTAACCCTGGAGTGAGATGTGCTAGCGGGGGCTGACTAGGCAACACTGACCCCTGGGTCAAGTCTGGCTTTTTTTTCTGCAGTCTGAACTGCAGGTGGGCAGTCTGTGTGCCCGATCAGGCATGCTGGGGACAAGTTCCCTGTGGCTCCCTGCTGGACCCTGCATCACCTCCCTGATGACACCCTGAAGCTACCCACACAAGCTTTCTGAAACAGGAGATAAACAAGAAATTTTGAATTTGATTAGATTCTGAATTAGAAAATCTTAGAGGGCAGTGTCCATAGCTCAGTGGGCAGGGTGCTGGCCACATACACTGAAGCTGTTGGGTTCGAACCCGGTCCAGGCCAGCTAGAATGACAATGACAACTATAACAACAACAGCAACAAAATAGCTGGCATTGTGGTGGGTGCCTGTATTCCCAGCTACTTGGGAGGCTAAGGCAAGAGAACTGCTTAAGCCCAAGAGTGTGAAGTTGCTGTGAGCTGTGATGCCACAGCACTCAACTCAGGGCGGCAGCTTGAGGCTCTGTCTCCGAAAAAAAAAGAAAATCTTAGAGATGGAAGACAACTTCAGTTTTTCAAAGATCTCTGCTCTTTAATACCCTGGGCCTTGCTTTCCTATGACTTTTTAATTTATTATTCTCAAAAGAGAGATGACAGTCACTTTAGCCAGTGTTCTAGAAGAGAAAGGAATGCTAATATTTTCTAAGTACATATAATAATAAACCAGGTATTATATACCCAATTTGTTTAATCCTTACATGAATTTAAGAGATAGAAATAGGTAGAATTATTATTCCCATTTTATAGATATGAACAGAGATTCAGAGGGACTAAATTACTTTTCCTAAGACACATTAGCAGTAAATTCTGGAATCAAGATTCAAACCCAAATCTGTGTGATCCAGAAGCTCCTGCTTTCCCAGGCTTCCCTGGAGTCACCAGTGTCCTGGTGGTGCCCAAAGTGGTTGAAACACAGCAGTTCTAACACATCAATGCTTAGTTTTCCTTTCTGAATTTCTCCTGCATCTGCAGTTCCAGGGCAGTTGACCATAGCAGAAAGGAAAACCAGAACAGCCCGGGACAGGCCTTCCTGCTTCTGGTCCCTGCTCTTTTCAACCCACCCGTAATCACTGACGATTAACACCTCTTTGCTTCTTTGACTACTTGACTTCTGTGGTCTTTCAAATCTGTTTTTATATCAACACTCTGAAATTCCAAATGGCTCTCTGTTTTCTGTCGCATCTAATCCTCAGCCTGGCTTTCAAGGCTCACTAGAGTCCATTCTATCTACTAACCTTTATTCCTCTACCGCAGTCACCACTCCACAAAGCTGTTGCACTCATTCACATCCTTCTACTGGCCTGCTGTAACAGAAAGAGGATGGGCTCTGGAGCAGCCAGCCCTGGGGGTAAATTCCAGCTCTTTCGACCTACTGGCTGGTTAACTTGGGCTGGTCACTGTCCTTCCCTGGGCCTTGCTTTTCTCAGCTGTATAGTAGGCAGATCATTACCTAACTCACAGAGCTGCCTTGGGGATTAAATGAGAAAAGATGCCCCCAGTGTTACTGCAGAATACACTCAGTAATGCTCCATCTTTTGTCTCCTCTCTCCTCCCCGTGCTTCTGCTCTTGCCACTCCCCTGCCCAGGAATGAATTCTTCCCCTATGTTTTCTTAAGCCTGGTGATCTTTCAAGCCCCTGTCTAAAATCCGGGAAACACTCCTTAATTACTCCAGCGTTACATTCTATCCCTTCTGAATTCCTAGCCTGAGAGCCTTTCCCACCTGCTTCAGCCCTTCACAGCCCTTTGGTAGAGAGGTTCAAGGCTTTGCTTCTTTTGTCCCTACAAAGTGATGAGGAGGAGTCTGAACACAAAGCAGTAGGAGATGGATGGGCATATTTAATGTCTTTAGGACACTGGTTTTAGTCTGATGAGCTGCTGTTCCTTGAAGAAGAAAATGTTTTCTGGCACTCACTTGGGTAAAAGGCCAACTTTATAGCACAGAACGAAATGGCCCTGGGTAAGACTAACCAGAGATAGATTCTGAGGCATTAGAGATAAGGGCACCGGAGGTCAGCAAAGCTCAAGGTCACCTGGCACAACACACAGCTTCCAGGGATGTATCAGAATAGACTGGAGAGCCCTGGCCTGGGAATTGGAAGATCTGGCTGCTTCTAACATGTTACATAATTGTAGATGAGCCCGTCTCTGGATGTGTTTGTCCAATCATACCACATATAAAGTAGGTGATTTAAACTTTAGTGTTCTTTCCAGCTTTATGATTCAATGAGTTTGTGAAATAAAGCATCTTAGACAAAGAAAAGCCAGGCCCTTTATCAGAAGCAAGTAATCTGTATGGCAAGCCCTGTCTACTCATATGTAAACCACAGTACACAATTTGATTGAAATGTTAGCATTATGTGTCAAGGGAGGTTATTAAAAGTGTAGCCTCTGGTAGGATGGGACTTGATCAAAATACATCCTTGGGAAATGTTGTATAGGACAAAACTCATTTACTACTAGGAAATGGATCCCATTCCGGCACTCTAAGCCTTGCAGAGATTAAGGCCCCTGATCCTGCAGAGGGAAAGAAAGGTCAGAAAGGACGGCAGAGCCAAGAACAAGGATGTGGAACTGCTGCTCTGGAAGCTGCCATCCATGTTCAGTGTGTCTGATTCCTTTCCTTCACCTTAACACATCTCTCCACCTGACTACAGATTAGGAGTAAACAAAAAAAACAGGTTAGTCTCATAGTAACATCCTGGCAAAAACCAATGAAAAAACAAAATAGGCATTTTTAAAATTTTGTGTTCAACTCTTGTGTAAACAAATTAAATGAGAGTAAGGGACTCCTTCTCTGGGAGAGGAATGCTATCTTTGCCAAAGTGTCCCTCTGTAATGCTCAGAAACTGTCCATTGGCTTCAAAGCAAGAGAGAAATAGATTTCTCTCAGAAACTACTTTAACAAAAACTCTAGTCATTCTACAATGTTGTCCTGTTGTAAAAGGAAATCAACAAACATAGAACAGTCCTATCTTCTCTTATCTTCACTTAGGGAAGGTCCACCAAACTTAGATACACAGATTGAATCAAAAGGCACATGGAGAGCTGTAGTAAGATCCCATCTTTCACAGGTAAGAACAGTGAATCCCCAGAAAACCAAAGGACCTGCCCAAGGCCACACATCGTGCAGAGGTAGAGCTAAGCACTCAGGTCTCAGGATCCCTGTTTTTAGGCTGTCCTGCCACCTCTCCTCTGCAAAGCTGACCTTTCAAGCCTGTTGAGTGGAGCAAGGCAGGGCCTGTGGTCTGGGACATCAGCCTTCTCTCTGCAGGGGAGGAATGCTCTGTGGAAGATGCCAGGGCTAACAGCGTATCTGAGACGGCCCTGAAAACTAAGAGGTTTCATTTCCTCAGCTTGACAATATTTGCTTTGGCTCAGGATGGCCGGCTGCAGGGATATATCTGTACAACCCAAATAAAACAACCTTTTCTTGCTCATCACCCCACTGGGGAACGATACTAGATAAACAGAGACCTTTTAAAGCATGAGGTAAGAAAAATGAGCTGATGTAAATGACTCTTTAAGGAAAATGAGAGGTGATGTCTATAACGAACGCCAGGGTGGCAGAGAATATAACTCTGAGCCTGGATTTTATCAGCGCCCGGACAAAAGGGTCTGATATGCTTCTCTGAAGATGAATTCATTTGGATGTTAGAAAGATGCCAGAACAGTTTCCTCCCATGACCTGCTGCTGTATCACCATGTGACTTTAAGATTTCTAAAGGTTATTCCATAAATTTCCATCCCTGTATCAATATAATTACTAACAGTGCTTATGTTTTCTTGCATGATTTATTTCCAAGCATCATACAAGAAAATCTGAGGAGTTCTACTGTGGCTCTAGGGCTATAGACTAACCACTGTTGCATATGCAGCTGAGGCAGTTTACGGACAGCAAGCTGGTGTCATTTACCCGTGTCCCTAGTACCTAGCATAGGGCTTGGAACATACAGATATTTTGTAAACAATGAATGAATATATATTGAGTTGTTATCTGTAAACCAGATACTTCATTTCTGGTTCGCCTTATACATTTAAGCATCTGCGTTCACGAGAAGGTAGAACAAGTGTCATCACACTATCTTGGCAATTTTAAAGAACTTTCTCGCTAATAAGCTATTTTAAAATGTCAGTTTAGTTTTATAGCTGCTTTGTCCTGTTATGTTTAAAAAAAAAGGGAAAGAAAAAAAGGAGAGAAAAAGGAAGAGAAAAAGGTCCCAGCAAAGCTACACTAGTTATAACAGAAAAATCCTAGAAATAGTCACTCAGGGCTAGGCCAGGAGGCCAACCGGTCACGCTGCGTGTGGAAAGCTCCCACCATGCTCTCCCGCTTTGCTCTGACTCGCAAATGCTTGCAGGGAATGGATATTGAGCTGAAAACACTACCTTGCCATTGTCTAGGATATACTTGTCCATGACAGGCGCAGGAGCGGGGTAATAGGACGACGTATTTGCTTCCTCACTGAAAGTGCTCCGTAACTCCGGTTCGGGCTCGAGACATTCTGACTTTACTTTTTCCAGGTCAATGGCAGGACCTAGGCAGTTAAGAAAAGAAATCTGTCTAGAACTCCAAGGAAAATAAAAGGCAAATACTTTTAACTACGCATCTATCAGCACAAAATGCTAGCTTATTTTTGTCCAGTGGACTACACTTAAACCCAGAGTCAAAAATCGTATGAGGTCTGAATGTCCCAAGGGAAAAGGTACAAAACTGGAAGATGAGAATGGACCAGACTCAGTTGATTAAGTGTGAATGAGAAGCACTGTTCTAGGGTGTCACTGTCTAAATGGAAACGAGACTCAACTTCCTGTGCAGGAAAGAGGTTCTGTTAAGACTGGGTTAGAGGAGAGAGGGTGGCAATTACGGGAATACGCAAATTGTGCACTTGCCAAAAACCCCGCCCTTGGCGGCCTCCAGTGGAAAAGGCCACAGCACAGGAAGGGAGGCCAGGAAAGCCGTGAGGGGCAATGTGAAGCCCTCCCCTCCCCAAGACCTCGCATCTAGAGAGGAGCATTTCTACCAAGAAATTAAAATACAATACAGATTAGGCCCCTGATTGCCTGATCCAGCAGTTCCTCTGATTTCTATTTTAATGCAATCAACACAAATTATGTGCAGCTTAAACAGTGAAAGGAAGCTAGATAAATGGTGGTGATTTCTAAGGGGGATAGTGTATCCCCATTAGCTTTTAAAAACAATGGACTTATTTTTTTTAAGTCACCTATTGTGTCTTGATTACCAAAGGGCAGAGAAACAGGATGAAAATAGGTAAATAAGGCTGAATGACTCGATTAACTTTTGTGTCAGAACAACTCCCAAGTCCCACAGAATTTAACATGCTGGAAGTGTCTCCCTATGCACACATTTCAGGGGTTGACTGAGATCAGAAATTCAGTTACCGCCACAACAGCTCCCTGTGCCTGTGCTTAAGTAACGGAGTAACTTAAGTAATTTAAGGAGTAACTTAAGTAACGGAGGAATTCACAGTCCAACCTTCTTTAATCCTGACCACGTGGAGGACTAGGCACAAAGCTCTTCATACCCCTTTGCAATAATCTGGTTGCAATTCTGCGTTCAGTTGCTACATCGTAGACTTTGGTGGGTGGTAGAGAAGGTATGTCCATAGAGAAAGTGATTTTGTGAATAAAATTCCTCATGACAGGGCTTACCAGAATGAGAATATCAATCCTGAGTTGCTGCCAACTGCAAGATAGAATCTGTGTAGTTTCCAAAGAGTTAAGTGTGAACTATACAAAAAGTGGACTGCAAGGTGGTCAGGGGGCAGGAGAGTGCAGCTGATGGAGCTCTCTTCATTTTGGTAGAGGCTTCCAGTCCTACCCCTGGTTCTGCTACGTTTTAATTGTGCGGCCACAGGTGAGGGAATGGGAGATGCAGAAGTTGGCAGAGGGAAGGACCAAGAGCATCCTAACCATTCTGATGGCATCCTCCAATGATGCATGACCTATTCAAGGGCTGGGCTTAGGTTTTATATTTCCCTTTGTCTGCAGCACCTGGCACGAATGAAGTAGGTGTTCTCTGAATGTTTGCTAAATGAATAAAAGGATGACAACAATGAATGAATAATTCTAAAGTTTCAGAAGCAGATGCCAGAGTTTCTCCTCTCTGTGTGGGATCTCAGGTTCCATTTCTGAGATACAAACAAACTCAAGTGGCGCATTTGATCTTTTCTCAGATCTGTGAAGAGGTAATTACTTCAGTTTCCCCTAAAGCTCATGGCTGAGTTGGCATCTGAGGTCTCCTTCAGTGACAGGAGAAAGGAAGGGGCTGACAGGAGGAATTCTGTGCAGCCACTAGCTCACAGGTGCTCCGGCAAGATCACATCCCTCCTCTAAAGCCTACCTTCCTGTTGGACAAGAGAATGAATCCAGGGCCAGCTATGACTGTCATCTGATTCTCTCCCATCCATCACCGCAATGGCTACCCGGGAGATCTTCCATGTGACAATGTCTTTCCCTGATTAGGCTCCCTGCCACCCTCAAAATTAAGTACACACCTTATTAAGGCTCAGAACAACTGGCATCCTTTCTACCTCCAAGGTTCACTTCTTGCTCCCCACAATGTTCACCTCTGCTCAGGTGCCCTACATGCCATGTTGCCTTGGCCTTGAACACTACTTCATCTGTCTGCCAGCCCCTCAGTCAGACTTTAGGACACAGCTCAGGTGTCTCCTTTGAGAGGCCTTGATCTGATCACTCCCAAGTGGTCTCTATATTATGAATACTCTTAGCAAATTATGTCTGCAATCATCCACCCATCTGTCCACCTTCAACACTGGACTGTGAGGCTCTTTAAGAGCAAATTTTTACTCCATTTGGAATCTTTGAGCCTAGGACAATGCCTGGTACCTAGCAGGCTCTTAATTACATGATATGAGAATCAGAGGAGGGGAGTAGGCAGAGACTTTCATGGGTTTAGGGCAAAGATTTTGAAATAAAGCCCTGTTGCTGAGTGTGGGTGCTTGAGGACAGAGGGTGAGACGCTGTTCTCATGAATGTCTGTAACCTTTCTTGCAGTGGAAAGGAGAAATCAGGACTATTAAGTAGAAATCAGAAGTTTCCAGTTAGGAGAAGGGGCAATTCAGATGGCTACAGATCTAGGCAAAGGACTCCATCTCCATACTGTCTACTGAGGAGCAGGGTCAAGAGAGTCACCTCTCTGGTTCCATCCTCTACTGGTCCCTACCCCATAGTCAGACTCCATTCTGGAGAAAGTGGCCTGCCTCACCCTGTCCACACATATACTGTTCTTTCCTGCCTCCAAGTCTTTGCTTGTACCATTCCCTTTGTTTAATATTCTATCCCTACTGATGTCCACCTATTCAAACTCCACTGGCAATGCAAGTGACTCACATGCCTCCTCTTCCACAAGGCTGCCCTATCCCCCAAATGGAGGTGAATAGTTCTCTCCAGCGCTTGGCTTGGGATTTGGAGTCAGAGTGACTGGGGTTGAGTTCTGGGTTCACCACTTACTGCTCAGGAAAGTTGTGATCCTCCTGGGGCAGTAGGGCTCCACCATCCTTGCACTCTCCCACACCCTCTGTGCCCACTCTACCATAATTGTCAGATGCACTCATTTGTTTCTGTGTCTGTCTCCCCTACTAGACCATGAGGCCTGGGTGGCCAGGGGCTGTCTTTTTATGACAGAGAACAGGGCTCATCCGGCACGGGTGCTTGGTTCCAATTCTACCCTCAAGATATAATTTACACATAAATAATTACTTAGCCTCTTTGACCTTATTGCCTCATTTGAAAGGAAGAAAGATACTTGGCAAGACTGAGGGTTAAATGAGTTAACTACATGAATGAAATGATTATTTCAGAGTCTGGCACAGAGTGGGTGCTTGGTGGATAGTGGTTCACCCTCCCCCCAACACACCACGGCCGTCCCCTACACACGTTATACTTGTGAGCCTAAGTTCGTCTCTACTACACTATGGGTTCTGTGAAACAGAGCCCCTGCTGTTCTGCTTTGGCTGCTGAGCCCGGCACAGGCCCGGCACAGAGGTGTCCACCGTACTTTGCAGGGGGCACTCTGCAGGCCACCCACTCCCCACTAGGCTCATGATGGGTTCCTCAGGAATGACAGAGAGTTGGGGCAAATACTGAGGCTGTTGTACTGGGACTCCGGCTCTCAAGGAAAACGACTATCCTAACTTTCTCAGTCAGTATCATTTGTCTAACCCCTGGTGATGGCTTCCTCCTTCCAGGGTGTTGTACACAGAAAACATCTGGGGCCTCAGCAAGGAGGGCAGCTTGGAAAAACCAGCTAAAGGCACATATTGAAAGGGACCTTATAGGAGACCTAGGTGTGAATCCCAGCTGCATCACTTTAGGCAAGTCAAGTCCCCTCACTCTCTGCTAGTGACTTTCCTATCTGCAAAATGGGTGTTAGGGACAGCCAGCCCAAAGGCTGAGGAAACCTCCGACAGCTTCCAGCTCCGAGGCGGGCACGGAGTAGACAGAGGCTCAGAAAATGGCAGATGAATGAAGGAATGAATCAGTCAATAAAGCGTGATGTTTAGCATTAAAGAATCAGAAGGAAAAGACAGGGGGAGCATGTGGTTTCTTTGAGGAGAAGAGGGAGGGCCTCTAGTGCTTTTAATTTAAAAAGGGGGGGGGGAATCACTTCATTGCACATTTTAGTCGGCTCCACTCCCAATGTTGGCAATTTACATCTCATTACAACAAATGCTTCAGATTGCTGTTTTGCTTTTAAAAATTTCTGAGGCATTGTTCTCCCTCAAACACATGTGACCAAATTAGCCACAATAATAAGCACTTGCCTTTAGACAGCACTGTACAATGTGGTGCAGATATTTTACGTGACAAAGGAAATTTTTTCACTTTGTGGGAAGAGTAGGAATCAAAAATAAAAAAGGCCTTTTGATCCACTTGCAGGTTGGTATTAACACACACCTGAGGTTTATTTGGGGGAAAATACACTTTCCATGGAAAGAAACCTCTCAGCTGGGCAAAGGAAGCTTTTGAAACAGTATAAAAGGTAGTACTTGTCTTTTCCTTCAATCATTCACGAACCTATTCATCACACAATCCTGAGTGTGTATCAAGATACAGGCCCCGTGAGAGGCACTGGGGACCCAGAGACAACAGAAGTAAGTCCCAGTCCTGGGGAAGTTCAGAATTGAACATGTGAGACGCTACTGTATCACGTGCAAACTGCTGTGACTTGATGGATGAACGGTGGTTTAGTGTTAGAAACACCTCACACAGAAGCATCAATCCTATGTACCCAATCTTGATGACAAGTAATGACCCAGTGGGGGTGGGGAAAGGGGAGAGCAGAGAGAGAAAAAAGGAGGGAGCGGTGGGGAAAGGAAGAGCAGAGAGGGGGAAGGAGGGAGTGGGGTGGGGTCTTGGTGTGTGCCACACCTTTTGGGGGCAAGACATGATTGTAAGAGGGACTTTACCGAACCAATGCAATCAGTGTAACCTGGTTTCTGGTACCCTCAATGAATCCCCAACAATAAAAAAGAAAGAAAAACGTCACACAAAT